GGAGTTCTGCAAAGAAATTGAGGAAAAAAGGAAGATGAAGGTGTTTTCTGGCTTTGAAATGCCATAGTATAGTGGTGTCAAACAGTTTTTGCATTCTGTTTCCTCATTACATTGTTTTTTGGAGGTTCTCTTGTTTTCTTGTGTGCTTTTTGGTTCATTTGTTCTTTTTTTATTCCTGTGTTGGCTGTTTGCTCTATTAAATTTACCTTTTTTGAAAAATGTAGTCTGCATTCTTGTGTGTCTCACACAATGTCTCACCACCCCGCCTCAAACCCTGGCGTGTTTTAAGAGGTATCAACACAATTTAAGTCTCTGGTCCTCTGTGTCACACCCTGTCCTGTCTCCCTGTTTAGTTCAGTTCTGTGTCTCGTTAATTACCCCCACCAGCCTCTTGTTTCCCAATCACCTTAGCTCCCATTCCTCCTTTATTTAAACCCCGTCTGTTTTGTGTCCTGTGTGGAGTCATTGTTCCAGTGTCAGTGTGCGTCCTAATAAACCTGTGAAGTTAATCCTACCTGTCTGCCTGCTTCCTCCCCGGTCTGGATCCTCGCCTTAGCTCCGCTCCACTCCGCAGCACGTCGTGACACTCTGATATAACGGAGTGTACACCAAATTTACCCGTGTCTGTCTATACTGTTTTGCACTCACTTGGGAAATGACTATTAAAATAAAGGCAGCATTGATCAAATAAACTATTACAATGGTTTTGACAGGTTCAAAGAATAGTCTATCAAATGCTTGAACCTTTTATATAGGTACCAAAAGTATAGCTAAAAGACACAAATACCTATGTGCTATAAATACACATACCATACAAAAGTAGAAAAAAAATAAAAATATCAGAACAGATTGGATCAAAAATGGTGCCTGTAATTATCTGCTCTTTAAAATTATCATGGCATCCAGCAAACAAGTAATTTCATTACCAATGTTATGCTTTACATGGGTTTTGTGGGTTTTTAGGGCTTTCTAATCCTTAGAAAGGGGCTACTCGCGTTTTCCCGGTTCCATTGAAGAGGGGCAGGAGTCAAATAGTTGTCTCTGCCCACCTCTAAACGTTTGACCCCAGCAGGCAGCCAGGGGCTACTCAAGCCCCCACAACGGAGCTCTAAAAATGAGTCAAACCCGGAAGTACCAAAAATTGCAGTTCCACCCTCATCCGCTGGGGGCTGGTGTCAGAAGCGAGCAAATCCTCATTGACTCCCATGTTAAAAATACCAATTTCACAGCAGAAATAAACATGTTTACAGCCAGTTACCAGAACCTGTTTTTTGTTTAAATTATCTAGTTTACTCTCATGACAACTCTGAGGGGGGGGGGGGGGGGGGGGGTGTTCTCACTCTTCTAAGTGTATTAAAAGCCTAAAATTCTGTATAATTAATGAGCATCCGACACACGTGACCGCCGCCTCAGACCCACGTGACCACAGAGCTAGCTCCGTGGAAAGGCCTCAGTAGAGCCTCTGTCTGGCCTGGAAACTGTTTCGGGATTTTGAGTCTCTCTGTTTGTGTATTCTGTTTTGGACATTATTTGTGCAATTGTTGGACAAAATGACTTGCTGTGGCATTAATTGCATTAATAGCGCGTCCAAGGAGTCTACACTTCATTTTTTTCGGTAAGTTAAATTATATGTATGTATTTTAGGTCACTGCCGCCTTTAAACTAGCTGAGTTTATCGAAGTAGCTAGCTAACTATCATTTTAGCATGTAGCATGTACTGTTTAACCATGAAATTTAGATGTAAAATACGGTAAAATAATTAATAGGGCATATGTTGATGGGTAAAAGGCGTTTAACATAAAAATGGGTTGAAATATGACGGAGCTCTTGGAGGGATACTTCAGTGTTCCATTCTTCCACCCGGTTTTCCCCGGCGGTCAGCCTGGTGCATGTCTGACCGATGCAGCGCCTACTAGCTGCTGCGCGGGCTGACCGCTCGTGGAGCTCTCGGACGGGGCTGACCGCTTGTGGAGCTCTCGGACTCGTAGAGAGACCTGACCTCAGAAATACTGCAGCTCAATTCCCTACCTAAATGCAAAGTTTGAGAGACGTGGTTCACTTAGGTCTGCACTGCCTTCGAGCTAATTTGTCAAATTCACAAAATGTGGAACGGGATGTAAGTTTAGAATCAGCGGCGAATCGGAACATATCTCGAAGCCCTGGCCGACGAAACGGTCCACATGACTGTTACTGTCAGGCTCGGAGAAAATTCGGTTGTTTTTGTGTCAGTCGATTCTGCAACAGTGACTCTAACTAACGAAGCACTAGTTGACAGACATCATTAGAGCGTGAAATCCAGCACAGCGTGACCCGGTTCTGGAAGGAATTCTGTTCAGGAGGTCGCATTTCAGGCTCTCCACATCATATGTGACTGACTTTTACGTTATAATAACGATCACACACTAGGAATGTTATAAAGCGCCTATATCTGACAGTTTCTTTTGTATATTATCTGACTTTATAAACTCCAACAACAATGTGCTTCTATTTTTTTTTCAGGCTAAATCTATCCAAGACACTGGCTGTCAGACTGATTTAGTAGTCTGCAAGAATGCACTTGTCCAGCCTGACGTGAAGCCTTACCCGTAGCAAAGGTGAATTATTTTTAATAATCCTCTATGTAAACATTTTATTATTACCTTCAAGTTTTAATTTGTTTTGCAGATTATTGTTACACATGATTTTATGCTCTTTTAAACATTTATAAATGTGCTGTTTCTTTGTTTTTTATATAGCCATCCAGTTTAGAGCTCCCAGCTGCTGTGTGTCTGGTGACACAGGGACCTTGACGGAAATTCATCTTCCAGAAAGTCTGGCTCATCATTTAGCCAGATTTCTAAGGTATAGGCCAAACATGTTTAGGTTAGTTTTGATAAGGTCTGTGCATCTCTCATTTCATGACGTAACTTTTCATATTTTAGTTCCTGGGTGCCTTCAATGTGCAGGGACTGTCCAAGCAGTCATTCTATCGACATCAGGCAAAGCTGTTAATTCCAACAGTGAGCTGGCAGTGGCAGCTAGAGCAAGCTGATATCATCCAGGAGGCTACTGAATCTGGCCCTGTGACTCTTGGTGGTGACATGCGAGCTGATTCACCTGGTGAATACGTTTAAATTTATTTATTTTATTCCTTTGCTATCAAATGTAAATTAAGTAATAACTTGCATTTCTGAAGGACACTCAGCCAAATATGTTAGCTACACCATGATGGATCTCAAAAGAAACAAAGTTATTGATATCCAACTCGTACAGGTACAACATTACCTGATGATTCCAATACATTTCATGGTTAATTATTCACAGATCAATGGAGAATTATGTTTATTTTCAGAGCAATGAAGTTGGAAATAGTGTGCGAATGGAGAAGGAGGGATTTGTGCGAAGTCTGAGCACACTTTTGGAGAGGGGGGTCGATGTGCAGCAAGTTGTGACTGACCGCCACACAGGGGTGCAGAAGTATTTGCGGGAGGAATAAAAGGAAATCAGTCACTACTTTGACCCCTGGGAAAAGGTAATCTTTGGGGATGTATATAGTGAATATTACAGGATTTTTTTTTTCTATTTTAAATGTGGGTCTATTTGGCTCTCCGTGAATTGGTAAGAAAATCGAAGAGCTGGGGAAGAGAAAGACGACCCAGGATGTGAGACTGTGGAAGCAAAGTGTGGTGAACCACCTCTACTGGTCAGCATCCCTCTTTATTCCAGATTGGTTCAGCATTTACATGCTAATGTGGCGATATGTCACAGAGTGGTAATGTTGTTCTTATGTTTAATGTTCTTATGTTATGTTTTATATTGCATGTTTTCTAATTGATTAGGTGCTTTTAGGTTGATTTTTAACTGTTTGGGTGTTTTTAGTGATTGCTGCAACATTTCATCCCATTTGTGTTAATCCTCCCCTATTACCCACACCTGGGAGTGGGGTGTGGACTGGACTGGCAAACAATGAACAGAGGCAGGACGGGAGGAGAACGGGTGGAGGGTTTTGTTTATTTAAGGGAGCGGACGTGGAGACGCGGAAACATGAGGGGAAAGGAAAATACTCGGCTGGAGACAGTCGGACACCGCGAGCTGCGCAAGGACTGGAAGGAGATCCACCGGCGGCACGGACAGCAGCAGCAGCGGAGAGAGAGATCCGTGGCCAGAGATGCCAGGGCACAGAGCGCAACACGGCAGGCGGGCAGAGTTACTCTGCCCCCGCGCGTAAGTAATTGATCAGTGACTGGCAGTGTTAGAGTTGCTCTCTCTCTGTGAGTGGTCTGGTGCCGGTGACCAGTGGCGGCTGGTGAAAAATATTTTTGGTGGGGCTGTGCTATTTTTTTTAAACAAACTTGTGCTTTCTGAGCTTTGTGCACAACTTCACTATTTCCTGAATTAAGCACAGCTCTTTTATTTCCTGTCTTACATCATTGGACAAACTGATTAATCCAGGTGTGTCTGACTATTGGCACGCTGCCTTACGGACCAAGGTTGAAAAATACTGCATTAAATTGCACATAAAATAACATGACCATAAATGGTAAATAGGCAATGCAAGAGGCAAGTAACAAAAACATTTTGTTTAATTTCAACATTTGAGTGAACACGAAAAATTATGAGCAGGTCACTGTTACAGTAATGGTAGTAAACACTACTTAGACAAAATGCCAGAAATTTACACTGTTAGGACTTATGGAAAGTGGAAACACTTTCATAGGAAATAATGTCATCAGTATCCTCTTACAAATGTCATTTTCCCACTTCCCAAGCTGGGAAATGTGTTTGCTGCAGCAGAAGTGTAACAAGTAAAATGGAATCAGATTGATGTATGTACAAATTTACATGAAATACACATTTACATGATTAAATATGTATAATAGGTATGTGTGTTGAAATTAGTTTTTACAGTTATTGCACATTAAACAATGTACATGTTATTAAACAAATGTCCCGGTTTGTGGGACAACCAAGGATTTCTGATTCTGATTGTCTTGTTTACAGAAATGTAATGTACAGCTTACCTCTGCACCCAGCTGCTGTTCTCCCTGTCCAAATGTCCTCGGTTTCTTTGTTGGCTGCTGCACTGATGCGCTGCATTCTTCAGTCAGAGAATGAATGGAGTCCCCAATGAGACACAAGTTCCACATCCACCTTCTGTGGATCCTAGCCGTTTTGAATAACAAACACAGAAAGCAAAATAACGTATTAGTGTGATTGCATCCAGCTAGCCAAGCCTTCCTGGTGTACCAATTTTGGGAGAAGCGTCGTGTGTACAGTTTGCCCTTCTCCTTCTCCTGCTGGCTTATCTTTACGTCGGGCTGATCTGGTCCAAGCTCTTTGACATTAAGTTTTTCCACCATAGTTCTCCTCTCGAACGGATACTGGAGAAGAGACCGAACTGAATTCAGTGGCTGCTGAGATCCGGTTGTGTCTCAATTCAGGGTCTGCATCCTTCGAAGGACCCAGCCGACGTGGGCTGCGTCCTCCGTCGGCCGGGTAGACCGGATGCTAACGGCTGTGAATTTGGACAGGCCTAGCCTTCATGAACTCCCTCGGCGAACGTTCCGTCGCCTAGCAACCGTGGAACCGCTGGGCAGAAGGGAGAAGGAACGATGGAGCTCGACGCTTTATTTAGCTTTTTAACCCCCAGAAACCCAAATTTAGAAAACAACTGCAAAATCTTTTTTTAACCTTTCACTTTTTGTTCTAGGAGGCCAGATAAACGGGCCTATTTACACATTTTAACAGCCAATAGTGTTGCAGAACTGAACAATAGGACCTATTAGCAATGTAAATGTGGTTTTAAAAAGAAAAAAATGGGGAAGGTTTATTTTTGTGGACTTAAATCTGATGTTGTAATACTACAACCGTGGGTCTCTGGGGGTTAATCATTTCCTTGACTGTTGGAGAGCTAATTCAGAGAAAATACTTTAGACAAGCTGAGCCTGAGCAAAGATGTGATAATAGTTTTTAATACTTTCTAAGGGGTCTTAATTTGACCAAAACCGATTTGTCACCTTTTAAGACTTTTCAAGACCCAGCAGATACCCTCTAGTAAACAATTCTCATTTGTAAACAAAAATAAAATTCAAGAGTTTAATGCAGAACTGATTATATTTAGATATTTCTTTCATATGTACATGTTTAATCTTCCTTAACCATTTTTTTCTAGCAAAGTAAAAAGCTGTCAAAGTTCTCCCTTCTCTCCTGGGCCCTCTGCTGCTCTGCCTCCCTCTGCAGCCTCATGTCCTCCCTGATCAGATCCAGAAGCTGGTCATCGCTGGCACCTTCCCCTGGATGCCCATTTTCTCCAGAATAGTCTTAACAAACATGTAAGAAAAGAAACAGGAAGAGAAAAGAGGACAACGGGTTATTTCTTTCATGTTTTCGCAGAAAAAAATAAACTCAAACGAGTTTTTTTAAAATATGAGATGTTATTGTACCTCCATGCCACAGCCGCCGAATACTTTGCTCCGGTGATCATGTGGTCCATCTCTGCCCTAAGCTTAATAAATTCCCTGGTTTTCTCTTTTGTTCCTAAAATACAAACTTCTATTAAAATCAGGGGGGAACGTAGCGGGAGGATTACGACACCGAGCGCGGCCGAACATACGAGCCGAGACCGCAATACAAGCACTTTCACTGTAACATTTCTAACTAAAATAATGTTCATGTATCACAAAAAAGTCCTTAACCTAACAGTTTTCAAGTTTATACTGACATTTATATGCGCAATCCTCTCCGACAGCTCCCGCTTCACTGTCCGCCATTGTTTTTAAGTTTTTCTGCTGGCCGGCCCGCAAGGCATCTTGGGAAATGCTACCTATTGAAGGATACACCGGACCCATCCTTCATTCAGGCGAAAAGAAGGCCGCATTCGTCGACCGCATTTGAAGGAGTCTTTGAATTGGGACAGGCCTAGTCGCGGCGCTGTGACGTAACCGGCCGACGAATCCGGCCGACGTAGGATGCAGACCCTGAATTGAGACACAGCCCATGTTGTAGGCGCACTGGCGTCCATGTCTACGTCTGCGTCATGACCGTCACGAGTCACGACCAAAAACGTGCTGAAGTCGAGACTCTCCGAGTTCTACCGAACACCAACGAAAGCCTTGGCGGTAGCTCTATCGCCCATCATGCTTCTGAAACGTTCTGAAACAACGTCGACGCTGATTGGATACATTCCCATTCCTACCCTTTGATTTTCTTGTCAGCAATTGGACAACCGGTCCTGTCTTGTTTGGGCGATTGAAAAACAGCACACAGCCTCCACCGCTCGGCAGAGACCGGCAGAGACCTATATATATATATATATATATATATATATATATATATTATATATATATATATATATATATATATATATATATATATATATATATATATATATATATATATATATATATATATATATATATATATATATATATATATATTATATTATAAATATATATTATATATATTATATTATATATATATATAATATATATTATATTATATATATATATTATATATATATATTATATATATATATATATATAATATATATATTATATTATATATATATATTATATTATATTATATATATTATATTATATATTATATATATATATTATATATATTATATTATATATATTATATATATATATTATATATATTATATTATATATATTATATATATTATATTATATATATTATATATATATATATGATTTATTTTTGTTACAAAACACACAATTAACTTAGAATATGTGATTATTGTTAATTTTATTTATTTTTTTTTTTAATAAAAATTAAAAACAGTGGGGAAACTGGGAGGGCGGTGCCCTATCGCCCTCTTCTGGCCAGCCGCCACTGCCGGTGACGTATTTACTGCCGGAGTTGTTGTGTGCCACAGGGGCCGGGCCGAGGAGGAGGCGGATTGGATCCACCATGCGGCGATCCTGTGGTTCCCAGACGACGATGCCGGCCTTGGAGATTCCTTGGTCGAGAGCTCAGCAGGGCCGGACTGGACCGCTTTGTCCCTTGGGGCCCTGCGCACACTCGATCGAACGCTTTTTTCCTTGGCATCATCAGGGTTTTGTAATAAATGTCCATTTTTAATTTGCTTTGGCTGTCGCACTGCTTGCCTTGTTTTTTTTAGAACCTATTTTAATCCTTTTAATATTAGTGGCCAGGGGCGGATTAAGGACTGAAGAACATCCGGGGCTTAACACACGCACACACGTGACACGCACTAGTCAACATCATATATGTCTTGTACCACATAATTTTTAATCTGAAGCTACATATTCAACATTTTCAGGGCAGAGTATTGTTCCTGTTAGTGTTTAGTGTGAGATGATAGTAAATATTCCTTTTCTTTCTCCAACAACTTTACCTGATAGTAAGCTAGCTTTAGGCAAACCAGCAGCACAACAAATATTTTCAAATAAGACTCACAAACCTGAGTCAACACCAGTCTCATCAAAGCTGGGGTTCTGTCGTTGTACTTTTTGTCTAAAAAACGTCCTTATGTCCATCTTCACTCATGCGTTTCAGGCAGAGACTGCAGAAGAAGCCGGCTGCTGAAGGGCTTCTTCAGTGGTGGAGGCTCAGGGAGGCTGTATACAAACTACTGCCAGCTGCTCCCTCTCTGTTGGACTTTGGTACTGCATGTTACTTCCGCGATTTAGATCCGGGGCTTATCATGAAACATCCGGGGCTTCAGCCCAAGTAGCCGGGCCTAACGCCGCCCCTGTTAGTGGCACCTTCCATTCCACCTGGATCGTGTCACAGATACATAACCCAAACCAATATTACAATAACATAAACTTTTACACAAAACGCTCCTCTTGATAGAGCAAATCTGTTCAGCACATTCTGACAGACAGACCACCTTTCTTCTGTCATGTTGCTGTACAGGACATTTTTAGAGTTTTTCTTTTTAAAGATAAATAGTATTACATTTAAAGAGCAATACTTTCACGTTATCACTTTTTCCACACTTTCTGTATACCTGTATTTTATTGTTTTTCAATAAATAATGACAAATCATTTAAGTTTATGGTTTTTTTAGCACACAGATATAGATCTGTAAAAAATATCTACAAAGCTAATATTTACATAACAAGTATGATTTGGTTTTGCAATACGGCGGCACTCTGTTTATTTTAGTAAGATTTTTAAACCAAGTAAAGTTAGTAAAGAACACATTTCTATTGGCAGCTAAGAAACTGTTGGACTTAAAACAGGCCTGTTGTAGAAACAACTTGGCATAAATGATTCTTCCTTTTTTGTCTTAACCAAAGAAATTCCAGTAATTGAGCAAAAACATTTATTTTTTTTACGTCACACTTTATAAAATAACTGGACACAAAGTGTCGGGACATTTAAAAAATACTTTAAATAATAAAAGGGGCCCAGAGAGCTGCAGAGTGAGTGGAACATTGGGTTGTGAAGGAAGAACGGTTCTCAACAGTGTGATATGAGGGTGTAGAAGGTGAAGCCGGTGCAGGTCCTCCATCATGTTCACCAGATTCACACTGCTGACCACCCCCATGTCACTGCCGCCACTGTGGATGAGAAGGACATCAGGAGCTGCTCTTCCATGCATGGAGTTGAGAAAGAAGGGGAGAAGGTCTTTCCACCTCAGTCCGCCCCAACCGAACCAGGAGACACGGACGTCAGGGAGGCCAAGGTTGTGTCAGAGGGTCTCTGCAGCTCTCTGGGCACCACGCCTCACTCAGCTGTCACCGATGATCCAAATGGCTATGGAGAAAAAAATAACAGGTTTGGCCTAGCTGCTTAAAGTACAAAATCATACATTCAATTCAATTCAAGTTTATTTATATAGCGCTAAATCACGACAAGAGTCATCTCAAGGCACTTCACATAATAAACATTCCAATTCAGGTCAGTTCATTAATCCAATCAGAAATAATGTTTCCTATATAAGGAACCCAGTAAATTGCATCAAGTCACTGACAAGTGCCAGTGACTATACAGCAATCCTCATACTAAGCAAGCATAAAGCGACAGTGGAGAGGAAAACTCCCTTTTAACAGGAAGAAACCTCCAGAGAATCCTGGCTAGTATAAGCAGCCATCCTCCACGACTCACTGGGGATGGAGAAGACAGAGCAGACACACACACACACACACACACACACACACACACACACACACACACACACACACACACACACACACACACACACACACACACACACACACACACACACACACACACACACACACACACACACACACACACGGGAATAACTGGGACCTGCGATACAAACTCGTTCTGGCTGATTTCTGCCTAAAATGCAATTTAAAAAACAAATATACAAACATAAAATGTCTATAAACTGAACCGCTTTAAGCTTTTTAGGTTTCTACGGCTAGTTTTGAACAAACTTCGGTTTAAAACTTTGTAGCTCTCACCATTTTCTCTTCCTGTTGAAAATCGACAGCCAGCGCGCAAAGCATGCTGGGATAGCCTTGTTCTGTGAGGATACAACAGACCCGTCCTCGAAATGTGGGAGGAGCGAGGACGCGTTTGAGGGCACGACAATGAGTATTCTTAGAATTCTGACAGTACTCGATGCTGTGCTGTGACGTCATCAACCTCAAAATGCTCTTTTACAAGCATCCTTCCCGTGGATTCGGACACGCCCATAAACCTTACAGTTGGCAGTCCATGTAGTTTGAATCTTCCCTTGTTTCTTTACAAACCCAGCTCTCCTGGCCAAGTCTGCATTCTTTTTTGAAAGATGTTCATTAAGATAAACCTGTGTCCCTTTCAAATTCTTGCTTTGTCTGAGTAAATCAGTTTTCTTCTTCCTGTTGTAGATGTAATGTGATGAAGGAGCTATTCCTCAAGGATATTTATCCTCTAACCACAGTTCCCTTTGACACAGCGCCAGAGTGCATGAAACAACCTCAAGGTCATGCTTTCGCTTGAAAACTGTTTACTTTCCAGCAATGAAGACAGAAGATGAAGAGACACTTTTCTTTTATCAAAATCAAAGAAGTCTATTTTCAATGAAGCTAAAACAAGTATTAGTCAATAATACAATGTGACCGATCTGTGAAATCCCAATATTAAGATTAATGTTTTTAATAAGTAAATGACTTAATCTAGTCACTAGACACGCTGATATAGTAAGGTAAATAATCACATGACACATTGCTGTGCTGATCCAATCAGAACCTTCCCCGTCTGAAGCGTGGCGAGTCTCTGTGGTGTTTATTAAATCTGTCAGCTTTGATTCATCCAGAATCAAAAACATCCAGATTAATAAAACAGTTCCAACGCCAGCTTAAGTTCAGTTCTCAAGATCCCATGAAGTTCACCGCATGTTAAGTGAAGTATGGACAGGTCATCTATACTTCTCTTTTTAAGCTGAGAACCATCAAGCTGGGAAAATTCGGTTGTTTTGTTACCAACCAAGCAACGGTTCCTTCAGAATAAAATCTGAACTCGCTGACCCAAGGAGGGTCTCTTTTTGATGCTGTGAAACACCTGTCGCTTTTACCTGGAGACTATTGTTGAGGGTCTGGCCTCATGAGGAAATTACTATGCAGTGATTTTCTCCAAAATGACTGTGCTTAAATTGCTCTGAAAAGCAAATAATCACATCAGCGCCAAGAAACTTCATTTCCCATGATGCTTTGCACACAGAAGCATTGAGATGGTGTCACCGCCTAATACCAGAAACACGTTCTGCGCATGTGCGGGAGGCCATGGAATTTTCCCGCGAACTCAGGCCATAAATCATCAACGAAACAAAGAAACTTCGTTTTCTTTTGCCCAGTTCACTGGCTGTGAAGGACACGCTGTTGCTGCTCCTCTGACCAACGTGAGCCAGCGGGAGGCTGACTGCTGGAGCAGATCGAACACAGAACCGCTGGAATGCTAAGCTACAAGCCCATCAGGACCTGACTGGGAACGAGCGGAGCTCCATCCAGCTCTCAGAGACGCTGTAAGTTGTCAAACTCAGCACAAAAGGAACTTTGCTCTGTGTCCAGCCCAGCTGAGAAACACTCGTGGGGAGAAACAACGGAGAAAGCATCAAACCGACGGCCGCCGCCGAAAACTGCGGAGAAACACGGAGAACCGTCAAATCAAACAGCGGGGGACGCCTTGCTGTTCTGGTGATCAGAAACTCAATTCATCTCTTTCTCTCCTTCTTCCTTCTCCCGTTTCCTTTATAGTGTAGAATAAGCAATAAAACCGCGCTATTGCTTCAAATTACCAGACGAGTTCCTCTTTCGTTCCCAAATACGTCCGTCGGGTCATTTTGAAAGAATAAACTGCTTATTTATCATTGTTTGAATATCTTTAAATGTTTTCTACTATGGCCAAGTGGTGAAACTAAAAGATATTAATTTGTGATTAATCTTTTGTGTTGTTTCATGATCCTTTGAAATGTTTTGAGTGATTTAAGGTTAAGTTACTACTGATTCTAAGTGCTTTGGAAGTTAAAGTGCAAGTTGCCACCCACACTTTAGCCAGACAAAGGGGTCAGCCATCTTGTATACAGACTCCATTTTAGAAACACACACACACATACACACACACAAAACACCTTGAACATTATTTTGAATATACATCCTTTTATTATATCACATGGTTATTATTCATTTATGCCACTGTTTATTCATTTGACAAATTGTTAATTAAACGTTATAAAATTCAGATTTTTGTCTCCAGTAGCTTTGTTGTGTCGAAGAGAAGTCTCTGCTCCAAGGATTCTACGAACTTCAAGAAAGACTGATAAGAGTTTTGGATTCAATTTTTCCCCAGTAGAACGGGGTGGTGCCCCAGAGATGTCTAAGAATATCTTAATTAATTAATAAATCAGTAAATATTCTCATATTTACAGAATTTATTGAAGAATCCAAAAGTAAGTTAAAGCTTACTAATTGTTCGCTCCTAATAACCCCAACACTGTCCAAGGACTAGTTTGTCGTGCTGTGACGCTTTACCATTGGCTCCAGTACCGGAAGGAAGGTCCGAGGACCTGGGCATTTTGGATCCATCATGGAGGTCTCACTGAGGGTATTTGGATGAGACAAAAATGGCGTCTCATGTGTTTACGACTACGGGTCTCAAACTCTGATCATATAGGAGCAAAACATCATCTCCCACTCAGACGTCTCTTCTCCGGATGCGGGGGTTCTGAATTTAACATCATTCACACACACCATTCACCTCACACTTCATTGCAACAGAACATCCATCATTAGAGAATTAGTCTTGTTAAATTGTATAAAATCATTTAGTAATACATTTTCTTAAACGTTTGAAGGTCTCTCTCTCTTCTCTTGTCTCTCAGTTAATGCAAAGTGTTATTAGAAAGTCCCTGTAATAAAAAGATCCAATCTTCTGATTTAAATAACCCAGTGTTTGTAAGATGGGATTCATACTAGATATGGATTTTTAATGTCTTATGGTCTTTAATTAAATGTAATTAAATCTATCATTACATAGAGATGCAGAATGATCACTTGTTTAGCTTTCTGATTCCTGGTTTGAATTGTATGACATGCTTCAATGTGATTTCTGTTTATCTGAATGTTCCTACTTTGTAAATACCTCACTACTTGGGCTTCAGCTGAATTGTCCAGGGGCCTCATTTATCAAGCTTGCTTACGCAGAAAACAGGGTCGGAAAACTGCGTAAGCAACTTTCCACGCAAACTTTGGGATTTATGAAAGAAAACTTAGCAGAAAAATGTGTGCAACTTTAAGTTGACTAAGGATCTGGCTTACGCACATGTTGGACATGGAGAGCACCTGCAGTGCTGCTGCTGAGAAGATACAATTATGCAATCCTGCAGCATTATCACATGTACTGCTTCATTTTCTCACAGAACAAGACCCCCCACACGCACACACACACAAACACACACACATGCACACACACGCGCACACACACACACATGCGCGCGCGCGCGCACACACACACACACACACACACACACACACACACACACACACACAGCCTGAAGCGCAGAATACGGAATGCAGAATATCAGCAGGGGGACAGACTGAGACAGAATGTCATGCGTCTGTGACAGTGTGTGTGTCCTGTCACTGTGACCCGCTTGATCATGCGCCCTGGCTACTTGTACACGGGAGATCTCTGTTTAGCTGACTGGTTAGCACGCGTGACTTTCACCTGGGGATTGAATCCCAATTGGACCATTTTTTTATATCCGTCACAGATCTCTCTGAAGAACTCACAACATTGATGGCTTCAGCAACGCTGTGCCACTCTGTGGATTTTCTCTTATTTGTGTTGCAAAAGCACTTCCTTTCATTTATCCACCTCACCAACAAGTACCTAAACTTCTGCTTCTGTGAAATTGCGCTTCCTTGATCTGCCTTGATCTACGGTCGCCATCGTCATTGGCGGAGCACTGCAACAGCCGGCTTATGTATATGCATGAGATCCACAAGGCACTTTGCATTGCCTATTTATGGCAGTAAGTGGGCATGGTGAGGGCGGGATGTGACTAAAAAGCAGCTGAGAACCTTTCTAGATAGTCTCTGATTTATGAAGCAGAGATTGCGTGCAGCTATGCGTACTCCATGTTTGATAGATCACAAATTTGCTTGGCGTAATTACATGTTTTTTGCTGAGCTTAAGTACGGTTTTAGTAAGGATTCTACGCAATGTTTGATAAATGAGACCCCAGTTCATTATCTTCCCCTTCTCTCTGTTCCCCTTTCACAACATGGGCACGTGATGATTTAAGAGACAGCCAGAGATTACAACTTCATTCATACAGGTGTATTGTTCCATGTCCGACACCCGGGTCTCCAGAAGATTTATTCTGCTTTGTTGCTCCTCATTTATCTTTTTCAGTGCCATAATTTCATCTACTAAACCCATAATGGTGCACTGCTGTTTTGATATAGTCCCCAGCTGTTCACCCATCATGTTCATGGCAGCCTTCAGTTCTTCAATGTCTTTTTTTACTTCCTTGGTAACCATGATTATAGAAGTTTCAGAGCCTTGCAGATGGCAGTTTCAGAACTGATGAACAGTGGTACATGGAGGCCTACCTTGTTAGCTGGTCATGGAGCCTGGGCCTGGTAGTGAAGCTTCAGCCAGGGTTTGCCAGTAGCTTATGACGAGACCAGGGCTTGGTGAATAAGCTTTTTTCCCGTGGCTGGAGGTGCAGCGGACGTTAGAGGCTGATGGTAGATCCTGGTCCTAGAGATCTAGGGAGTTGCCTGTAGCTGATGGTGGAGTCTTGGCTCAGTGGTGAAACTCAGGCCTTGCTTGGGGCCTGGCCCCACACCAACAGTGGAGCTTATTGCTTCAACTCTTTTGATCTCTGCCTCTACCTGCTTCCCTCTTTTCCACACATTCAACACACAATAGTGGAACTTTAGCCAGGTTGCCTTTACCCAAAAGCCAGGGATGGAGACTGCTGCTCTGCTGCTGCTGCTGAGGCTGGAGCCTGGGCCTGGCTTGGTGGCTGGTGCTGGAGGCCGGAACCTTCCTGGGCCGGGCGTGGCAACTGAACCTGGAGCCAGGATCAGGTATTGAGGCTGTAGCCTGGGCCTCTCCTGGTGGTGTAGTTTAGAAACTTGATCCTGTGCAAGCCGTGATTGCTGGTGCCGAGTCTGGAGCCTTGAGGCCAGGCCTGGTGGCTGGTACCGAGGAGCCTGTGCTGGGCCGGGCCTGTTGGCCGAACTAGAGGCTTAAGCCTGAGTGTGGTGTCAGCTGGGCCTGGTGGCTGGTACAACTACTATTTCAGGTAGATAAGTGAGTCAGCTCAGCTCTGCTGCTGCTCAGCTCAGTGTAGCTCCTGTCAAACATATTCAGAGATACTCGACAGTGCAAGCAAAAGTTGTCTGTGCTCGTGCGTGTGTGTGTGTGTGTGTGTGTGTGTGTGCACACGCATGAATGTGTGTGTGTGTGTGCACACGCTTGAATGTGTGTGTGTGTGTGTGTGTGTGCATGCGTACGTGCGTGTGTGTGTGTGTGTGTGTGTGTGTGTGTGCACGTGCGGGTGTGTGTGTGAGTGCATGCGTACATGCGTGTGTGTGTGTGTGTGTGTGTGTGTGTGCACGCATACGTGCGTGCGTGTGTGTGTGTGTGTGTGTGTGATAGGTAGTTCCTGTGTGGCCATGAGTTGCAGGAGGACCAGGAACCACTGCTTTTGCTGGCGGATCACAAAGGGGACATGTGACCCATCCAGCAGGTTCTGAACTTCCCTCCCAGTGCTCCAGATCCCATCATAGGAAAGCATCCTAACTGTTCAGACCTCCTCAGCTGACTCCTTTTAATGGGGAGGAGCAGCGGCTCCACTCTGAGCTCCTCCTCCCCTCTGAAGTTGAGCTGTACCTTATGGAGGAAAACCGGGTCAGCACCCTGCTCCGTCGGTCATCTCTCCTCATCCACCAGGATACTAAAACCTGTGTCAGTGTAAAACGTTACCAGTCAAAGATGTGGAAACAATGGTGTAAAAGTCTTTATGAAATGGGGAGTTACTATAATACATACATACATATATATATATATATGTATATATATATATATATATATACATACTTGTATAATATAATAGTTACACTCTACTGTTATTATTGTCTCTTGTTTCTGTAATCCATGATTGTTTGTCTCGTGTGCTTTAACGTGTCACGTTGTGCTTCATTTCATTTGTGGAACCATTCCATGTTAATCTGGTGGAGAACATCGGCCTCGGACTTGTAGGACCTGCCTGACCTTTCGGATGATTCCCACACAAATCCAAAGCATCACTCTGCCTTCTGTGGTTCAGTTTGGACCAGAATATGTTCAGACAGACACATTATGACTCTGAGTTTAAGGTTTAACAGTAAATCATTAATGTAAAAGCTGGTTTGTAGCTGAGGAGTTCAGAACCGACACCAGCAGGCCGAGAACAGAGCAGAACCTCTCTTCAGAACCAACGCGACTCCTGTTACCGGTCCGGTGGAAGCTGCAGCCGGCTCTGGCTCTACTCTGCTTTTCTAATGAGATTTGTTGCACTAATAAAATATTCCTGATGATTTTTTTTAAATGTTTCTGTGGAGAAAACTGGAACAGAACATTTATTCTGCCTGCAGCAGAAACTCTAGACCGAAACCTCTGGCTGGTGTTTATCCAGGAGAGCAGAGTGCATGCACGGCTGTTTTCACAAGGGATTAACCCAGGTTTGAATCCCAACACTTCACCGAGGAGAGGGACAACATTCCCACTGCATCATCTGGTAAAGATCGTCTCCCTCTGCTTTAGATCGCTGCAAAAACCACCTGATGTGAATACTTCACATAAAGAGCTTCATGACGCACGTCTGAACCTAAAACCTAAAAACCCCAAAACCTGCTGAGATTATGAGATTAAATCTCCATGTTGATACCATCAGATCCAACACGTGTTTATTGTTTACATAATTATGCTTATTATTTATGTATTTATTGCAGCTGGCGCTGTTTGAACTGAATCTCTTTACAGGTCATCGGCTCATTAGAGAAGATTCTTCTTCATCTGATTGAAGCTTCAAAATAAAGTGATTATTTTTTTAAACATTTGAACACAAAGTTAAATTAAAATCAGATAACTAATAAGATATTCGATCACTATTGTGAGCTGACTTCACACGTGTCTCTGCTGCTGTCTAGCGCCATCTATTGGACAGCTGGAGGTAAACAACACTGCATCCATTCAGGGTTTATTCTGTCAGAAATAAAAACCAGAATAAACACAAACGAACCGTCTCTAATGGAGACTGTAAAGTAAAACATTTTGCCCCCATTTTCATCACATTTGTTTCAAAATTAAATATATTACATCTGAATGTTTAAATATTAGACCAAATATTCATTTATTAAGTTATAATTTGCATCAAATGTAAATAAAAAGTAATAATAAACATATGTTAGAATGTTATAATAATGTTAAATGTTTTAATTATTGACTTATAAAAAGTTAAAACATGTAAATCCAGCAGTAAAACAGAAGTAACCTAACAAAATAAAAGACTTGGTAGAGCTCACCATTCCACTTTTATTTTGGTAGGATGATGGGCAGCTTCCTGGCCTGGTGGGGAAAGTTTGTGCTTTTAATGCGATAGTTTAGATCGTAGATGAGGAATAATTAATATCTGACCTGAGTTAGAGCAGGAGTCTCCAACCCTGTCCAACAGGGCCTCCACGCTGCATGTTTGAGTTGTTTCTCTGCTCCATCACACCTGTTCAGCAGGCCATCAGGTTCTGCAGAAGCCTGTCGATCACCTGCTGGTTAAGGCCAGTTGTGTTGGAGCAGAGAAAACCTCTATTGCAGGCTGGACGGTGGCCCTGGAAGACCAAGTAGAACTAATCTGAGCAGGAGCAGGACCAATTACTGTCGTGTGAAAACCATTCCATGTTCCTGCTGGACGTTCTCCAGGCTCCAGTGTTCCAGCAGCTTTCTCTGCTCCCTCCCAGTAACCACAGAAGCTGAATCAGCATGAATGTTTCTCACACCTGCGTGCTTCCCAGTCCAGGACGGATAATCAGCTGGCAGACGGAAGCTGGTTCACAAACTGCTGGTCCGTTCCAGGTGCGTGTCGACCCATCAGGTGTGCTGTTCGTCCTGCGCTTCCATAGAGATGACTCTAATGTGGAGGCTGAGTCTCTTCAGCTTCATCATCGGAACATTTAAAGGTAAAAAAAAACACGATTCACGATTCAGTTCAGCAGATTTAAAGCCTGCTTTCTGATTCATTCGTGAAGATTAATGAAATATTCTCATGTTGCTGATTTTTACTCTGGTCTAGTCGAATCTGTAATAATCAACATTTGACTTTCACACAAGAAGAAAAAACGATTTAAAAGATCTATTTTCGTTTGTTTAAGGCAACGAGGTTTAAACCACCAAACAGTTCCCGAGCACAGCCAGTGCTGCAGCTCACCGCTTCCCACGGGGACGGGTCACATGCAGAGATGAAGTTCACCAGTGTGGTGATGACTAATGGGACTTTAACAAGGGTCACAGAGCACTCCAAAGTAACAATGATGTCAAGTGAAACTGACAGTAGTGTGTGTATTTATGGTTCACTAGTTATTAATTTAGAGAATATTAAAATAAGATAAAACAACAGAAACAAGCAGCTGACCTTCTGGTGAAAGCAAGTGTGTCCAAAGTACGGCCCGGGGGCCTTTTGTGGCCCTCGAGGTGGAACTTCGTCTCTCTCAGGTTGTTGATAATCAGATTTTAACCAGGCCACTCTGAGCTGTAAAATTAAAAAACCGATAGACCACGATACTTTTCTACTTGATGATTTTAGCCCTGCTCTTCCTGAGCTAAAGGCCTCGTTTATAAGGAGCTGAACAACAGCAGGACACCCAGATTCGGCCTCTGCTGCTGCACCATCCAGGTGTGCTGGCTCGTCCCGCTGAGGGGGCCTGCTAGCTGTGGATTAAAGCTTAGTGGGTTTCTGTGGACGTAGCTCCAGGAGAAGGAAGCTTGTCTAGGTAAACTCCTCACATTCGCAGCGGCTGAGGTGTGCTATGATAAGCTGGGCTGCTTCAACGACCACCCTCCCTGGGGAGGCACCCCGCAGAGACCCGTGGGCCTGGTTCCCTGGCACCCCGAGGACGTCGGGACCCGTTTCCTCCTCTTCACTCAGGCGAACCGCTACTATCAGGTCAGACTACTGCGTCGCCAAGACAACCCATCATCTGTTGCTGTGGTGCTATATAGTTGCTTTCACAGTTGGGGGAAACCAGTGAGTCACAGGCTAAACTATGATGTCATTTAATCTGGGAGGGGTCATTGTTTTACTCCACTGGAAGTAGAAAGAGACAAAACAGCTTAGCGGATGCTGAATCAACGATAGGAAAAGTTTGTAATACTTTGTGTGTTTTTATATCTTTTATCTTTGGTTTCTCTGAAATTATCAGGAGATTAAACCGGACGAAAGCATCGATGTGTCCAACTACGGCGGGAGGAGAAAATCCCGCTTCGTCATTCCGGGATACTTGAAAAAGAATGATGAAGACTGGCCTCAGGACATGTGTAAAGTAAGGGAACACACACACACACACACACACACACACACACACACACCTTGAGGTCTCTGATCCAGACCGGAGTCTGAAACCAGGTGTGAATAAATGCTCACCTGCTGAAGGACTCCTGCTGACACGTCTCTGTGGGCTGCAGGCGGTGGTCCAGAGGGAGAACGTGAACTGCATCGCTGTGGAGTGGAAGAAAGGTGTGAAGACTCGTTATGCGCAGGCTGCTAATAACGCCAGGGTGGTCGCTGCCCAGGTGGCCTTCATGATCACCTTCCTCATGGTAACTATGGCTCTGCATCACCTGTCAGAGAAACTTCCGTAAATGAAGACGAGTTTCCTCTGATGAACATGATTTTTCAGAATCATCAGAACAAGAAATGATAAACTTTGATCTTGCTATACCCGCTCTTGTGCTGATGACCAAACCCTGAGCACGCACAGCAGCAGATGTTCATCAGGTCATATGGTGAAGTTGTAGTTCTGGCTCCGCCCACCCAAAGCGTTAGGTACCAGGTGGCACCTTCATCAGGTAACGTGGAAAAAACTCAGAGACGGCAGAACGACCAAAAACCAGTTTTAGTACGTTATTTATTAGCTTATAAATGCCTAATAATGCTCTAGGTAACGTTATTAAAGGGACTTTAATTGTATGGGGTTACTGAGAATTCTAAAAGAAAACATTTATTCTCCCATGAAGGAGAAATTTAAGCTCTTTTGGCAAAAATAATTTAGATGAAGTCAGAAAATAGTAAAGAAATATGAGTTTAATCATAAAAATGTTTACTGAAGATTTAGAAGTTTCTACAGAAGCCAAAGAGAACTCAGAACTCACCTGGAGCTGACAGGATATTCACACACACACACACACACACACACACACACACACACACACACACACACACACACACACACACACACACACACACACACACACACACACACACACACACACACACACACACACACACACACACACACACACACTTTGTAAGTTTTTTTGTTTGTTTATATCTAAATGATGTTAGAAGAATGTTAACTCATTCGCTGCCAGCGTTTCTCGCCATTTTTACTGTTTTAAACTTTACATAATTAATTTAACCAATTAGTAAACTTTACATAATTATTAGTAAACTTTACATAATTAATTTAACCAATTAGTAAACTTTACTTATTTAGGAGGCATGAAAAAGGTTTTGAGCTAGCTTGTTTAGCTTTAGTAATAAAAATGAACATTTAGAATGTTATGTTATTATTTGGCCATGTCTGAACATACAGACATGATATTCAATTCATTTTTATTTATAAAGCCCCTTCCTACCCCCACTCGAGGTGATCCAAGATGATGAACTGAGTTAAGAACAACTGAAACAGTAATATAGTAAAATGCAGAAACACAACATTTAAAATGCAGTAAAAGAAAAAAAAGCCTTAAAACAAAAATGATCAGAACATTAAAACATGACTAAGATCCACCTTCAGCCTAGCTTTAAAAATATTCCTATGTAACTAATCTTATGTGGTGAATAAGTGATTAGAAAAGTTTTGGTCCACATTTTTATTATTAAACTGTGGCCAGTATCGATGCTTCGTGGTTTTCTCTCATTGGGCCAGGCTGGTATTTCTGCTGTATTTAAAATCTGTAATTAAAAGAGATCAGGATTCATGTGAATTACAAATCAGCAGTAAGGAAATCAGCTGATGCTTTTGATTTATTACAGATTATTAATATTATTACCATAGCTTGGCATCTCTATCCCAGTAGAAGCCTGTGGCTGAGTCTGCAGTTTCCTCCGGGAGAGATAAATAACAGTAAAAACACTGAAACCAAAATGCCTCGATATGAATTTCTCCGACAGCATCATGTCAGCGCCAGGCCGACATCCCATAACTAACGTGCTTGGGTGCAACCAGATCCGTCTACAACCGTCGCTGCTTCCTGGGGACCAATATCACTTTTACAGTCAACAGCAGATCATTGTCAAGGGATCTGGTATACGCACGTGCGTGTGTGTGTGTGTGTGTGGGTGTGTGTGTGGGGGGGGGGGGGGGGGGGGGGGGGTATGGTAAGCCGAGTAATGCAGCGTTTTGCAGATATTTTATAGCACCGAATGTCCTGCCAACTGAAACTGATTCCTTATGCCAACACGTTGTTGTGACTCAGATTTACAAGGTGAGAGTTGTCATGAATGCAACTGAGCCTCACCTGGACGTTAATGTCTGCTGATCGTTTAACTTAATTATCATCAACATTCAGTCTGGAGGGTTCATACAGCAGTATGACGAGGACAGGCATGGATGTTGATTCATTCTGAGTTCTTCATCCTTTATTCATGTGGCACTTATTCTAAACGCAGCTGAAGACTCAAACCGATCCCAAATGTTCTTAAAGTTATCTTATAAACCTTCTCTTACCCGAGTTACTCTGCCTGAAATAGTTACACATTTCTGTTGGGGAAGTGCTGCGCTGAGGTGTTCATGTGCGGTTTTCCATTCAGAAATGAGCACATAACCATCACTGGTCCTCAGTATGATGTATAGACAAGTACATACACACACACATGAAAACACACACATACATACACACACACATGAACACACACACAAAATGAACAAACACACACACACACACACACACACACACAAACACACACATACACACACACACAAACTTATGAACACCCACACACCCACTCATTAACAAATACACATGCACGCACGCACACACACACACACACACACACACACACACACACACATGAACATACACACGCACGCACACACACACACGCACACACACACACACACACGCGCACACACACACACACACACACACACACACACACACACACACACACACACACACACACACACACACACATTCACACACACAAACACACACCAGTTGAAGGTTAAACTATATGTGTGTGTGTGTGTTGTAAGAACATCTGCTCTCATGCAGGTACATTTTAACCAGACCGTCGATAAGTTCCACATCATCGGACACAGCCTGGGAGCTCACGCAGCTGGAGAGGTTGGAAGCAGAATTCCTGGTCTGCCCCGGATCTCAGGTGACCCTTCCTCAGTCCTCAGGTGGACTAGAAGCAGCTGGGGTGGGGGGGGTGGGGGGGGTGGGGGGGGGGGGGGGGGGGCGCGCTAATTTAATCTCACTTTAGCTCACCTAACCTCGTTTCCCGTTTGATAATCTTGTCTCTCCCTGGTTGCTTTCATAACTTGTTCAAATTTGTGCTAAACTAAAGATTATCATTCCTAAACATCCATGAATCCTTGTGAGGAGATTAAATGTGAAAAGCAGACATTCGTGGTCAAGCGGGATTCAGATTAAAGGAGGAGAGAGAGAGTTCTGACGTGCATTTATCACACTGCATGATGCAAGTTCTGTGCTTTAAAGCTAATGAGTGTTAAAAAATCTGAGTTTTTACGTGTTTGGAAGCAGCTAATCAAGTTTGTGTCTCGACTTTATTCCATGTTGGTTCAGCATTGTGATCTCTGTTCCGTGTCTCTGCGTAGGCCTGGACCCAGCAGAACCATACTTCCAGGGCACGGACGCCTGTGTGCGTCTGGACACCAGCGACGCCGCCTTTGTGGATGTCATCCACACCGACGGGCTTCCTTTTAACTCCAAACTTGGTGGATATTCCCAAATTCCAAATGTTTAAGGACATTTGAACAGCTGTGGTCTTTATTCCGCTGTGGCTCCTGCAGGTCTCGGCATGACAGAACACGTGGGTCATCTAGAGTTTTTCCCAAATGGAGGGGAGCTGATGCGCGGCTGCTCTGCAAACTCTGGACGTCCTACCGACCTGGACTCCATCTGGGACGGTGAGATAATCCCAGTGATGACTGGGATGGACTCAAACCCACTAACCGATCCTCTACGGTCGTTATGAACATGATAGTCACCACTAGTCTCTGTTTTTGTGTTTGAGGAACGTCCTGAGGCAGTTTTGCTGCAGACGGATCAAACACCCACTGGGGTCCTTTAAACGACCCTGTCATCCCTTTTGGCAAAAACAATGAAACGGATGTCCTCAATATTAAAATGGATTCCAGTCTCAGAAGGTGTCTGACATTTCTGATGGGCAAAGACACAGACCAGACTTATCAAAGTTCATCCAGACGTTCTGAACGTTTCCTGCTTCCTGTTTTTCTGGAATCACATTTATGGTTGAGTCTGGAAAAATACAGACTCCAGATTTTATCCTTCCTGATTTCACCTGAATCAGTTTCCATAAACGTCCGTTTGGACCCTGAAGACCTCATATTCCCGTCAGATGAAGCACCGTCTCCTAGAAGCTGCAGAGCCCAGCAACACCTGGAGGTTCTGGGTCCTGCAGTCGTAGGAAAGGATGAGAGGCACCATGTGAGCGGGATCCCAGTAGAGAGGAAGTCTGGAGGTCAAACAGAGATGTTTACAGAGGAGGAACTGAAGGAGAGCTGGTAGGAACCGATGCTCACAGAGATCCAGAGTTCTGCCGGGTCACGAGAATCTGCAGTGCCTGGACCCCAGTGGGTCTGGTAATCCAGAAAATTCTGATAAGATCAAATCTAGAGACAATCATGAATGTGTTTTCACTCAGAAATGGGTTCTGATGTGCTTATGAGAACCTGTTACCGGGTTCAAAGGTTCTGCCTCTTATTTGACCCACCTGAGACAATTTAAATGTTAAATCAGTCAAAACTAGAATTAATTAAGTAAAGTTAGAGAGCGATCTAACTTTCCATGTCCTAACGACTTGTTCTGAACACATGATGTGACCTCTGACTGATGCAAATCAGGTGTTCTCAGGAGGAGGCGTGGCTGCTGCCACCCCTCACATAACGACCCGTGTACGTAAGTGCTAGGAGCCCAGGGAATACTGAAGCCATCCCAATGGAAAACCTGGGGAGAAACCCCGAGCTGAGCCGAGGCCCGCCGGACGCGTTTGAGCAGTGGAGGACGCCGGCCTTCTTCTGAAATGTGCTGCGAGGATCAAGTAGCAGCATTGGTGCCATGCCTAGGACCGTGTGGGCGGAGCAGCAGGTGGCGTGTTGTCACAGCTGAATCCACCACCTTTGATCTGATAGATAAGAGAGGGAGGCAGGGGGCGGGGCAGCATAGCTGGAGATCCTGGAGTGCCTGGTGTAGCTGCAGAGAAAACAAAACTCAACCCAGCGTGATCAGGTCTCACTTTCAAACCCGAGACATCAGATCAGGGTGTCTGTCCTCCTGGAGTGCCAATGTTCCCCTCTCTTCTGTCCCCTGGAGCTCAGACACAACACCCCATCCCCTGAAGAGGACATCGGCTTTTTAGTCTCATCAGAATAAAACATTTTAGATTGATGACAGAAGGTTTTCTTGTGCAGATTTTTATGAATATTTATTTTTTTACTTCAAATTTGTCAGAAAAATGTTGCCTGAACTTCTGGTGACCCAAGCCAAATCTGAGCCAGACGAGTCGAGCAGTTTGTAGCCAATCAAATTATGCTCCTTTGATCAGGTGACACTAGCGCACCATTAGACAGCTCCTGTAGAAAACACTCTGGCGCTCTCCTGTAGACACGTCTTCCTGTTGAATCATCTGAACAGCAAGAGTCTAACATCAGACTTCCTCTGACTTTCTCTCCAGGGTCGAAAAGCTTCGATGGCTGCAACCACGTCCGAGCCTATCAGTACTACACTGAGAGCATCAGTAAATCCCAGGGCTTCGTGGGCTTCCCGTGCTCCAACAAGGACGACTTCGCCGACGTAAGGCTTCGGTTCTGCTACTTAAACACAGAGTTTACCAATGAAAGCAGTTCACATATTTCATAGTCTTACAGTTACCTTGCTGTTGCTGAACAACGGCAGCTGGGGGTGTCCAAAGTACCAACAAGTCTCCGGCCTGCTTTTTTTTTTTTATAAATGTGTGATGTTAATGTCACCCCTCTGTTCATTGAGCTCCACTGGCTACCGCTAGCAGCACGCATCAAATTCAAATTGCTAACACTAGCATACAAAGTCCGACATGGTGCGGCTCCCATCTACCTGAATCCTCTTGCAAAGGCTTACGTCCCGGCCCGGCCGCTGCGGTCATCACAGGATCGTCGGCTAGCAGTGCCTACACCACGCTCAGGACAATCCAGACTCTTCTCATGCATCGTTCCACAAATGTGGAATGACCTTCCAAGCACTAGCAGAACAGCGGCTTCCTTTTCGACTTTCAAGAAACTCCTGAAGACCCTGCTCTTCAGAGAGCATCTTCTTATCTAGCACCCTCCCTGCACCCGTCCCCCCTCTCTACTGTCCACTCCTTGTTCCCTACTCTCCATGATTGATGTAAGTTGTTGTTATTGTTGTTGTTAGCCTCAAGGGCAACATGCCGATCATCACTTGTAAGTCACTTTGGACAAAAGTGTCTGCTAAATACATAAACATAAACATAATGGCCGCTGAGAAACGGTTTGCAAAAACATTTTAAGTAGCTGAAATGTACTTTTCTGAAGTGTTTGCGTTTGTAAAATTTAAGTTAAATGTTTTGGATACGTACTGCTTTTTTAATAAAAATGAATAAAGGAGCAATGCAGTAATGCAGCTACAGGCTAAACTCTTCCAGAGTTACCACAAGGTTCAATTTGGGGTGCCACCCCAAAAATTTGTTTGGCCCCATCTGGCCACCCCATCAAAAATTTCTGGAGGCACCCTTGCATCACTGGAGTGATCCTGAGCCGTATTAACCCACAACGTGCAGGTGCCTCTCAAAGCCGTTAAAACCAGACAGAGAAGTCTTCATGTTGCCTGTTCAGTCGGGTTAAAGGTTAAAGTCTCTCTTTGACTGTTTCAACAGAAAATAAGTGTAAACATGAAAATGAACGTAAACTTCGAACATGACTTTGTGTGATGTTAGAATGTGACTGAAGGCCCTTGGCCCTGGTTAATGGCGGATTTAGCAATTTGGGGGCCCAAGGCGAACACAGACATGGGCCCCCTTACACGAAATTGTCGACAATCTTATCTTTAACTGGATTTGTGAAACTCTCCCCTCTTCTAACATGAGTTATTTTCACTTTTCATTAGTCCTCTTCTTTATTCCTGTCTTTATCTCTTTTTGAGTGCCTTCAGTATTTGCTCTGCTTTCTTCGTCCTGTCAGTGCTCCTGTACTTTTGCCTTTCAGTTTTTTCTTCTATTTTCCATTTTGGTCTATGTTTTCTTCCCTTTAAACATTTTCCATTGTCTTTCCTTTCTGCTTCCTTTGATGTTTACATAGAGAAACGACGTCACTTTCAGAAGTGAAGATAAAAGCTTTTTTAAAACGAGCTGCTTCTCTTATTGGAGCCACGAGGATAACTCCATTTCATGCTTAATGTTTTGACTGTCGCTTCGAGTTTGTTACGAACGCCCACGCCTCTCTTCTTGTTATTATTTGTGGCCTTATGGCACTTGGCAAACAACAATTTGGTGCATTACTGCCACCAACGGGATTGGAGTGGAATGACTACCAGTCACTTCCTGTTTGTGCATCGAGTCTTAAAGGAATAGTCCATTGTGGCATTAACAGAGGGGTGCCAGTGGTCAGGGCTGGGCCCCCCCCCCAACACAAGGGGCCCCAGGCGGCCGCCAACCTATGCCTGGTAAACTGCCACTGGCCCTGGTCCCCAAGGGGCTCTGTGGGCAGATTTTTACCTCAGATGGACTCCCGGGATGAGAAGGGGTCCCCATCTTCACCCTCTCAGCATGTCCATGGGACCACCACCTGTTGCTCGCCGTATGACACCGATACGACAGGCCGTTGCTTTGGTTTCAGGAGCCGATTCACTGAGATTGGGTTTTTGTTGTGGCACATGTGTTCATGTAGATGGACTTCCCTCATGTCCTCCATGGGGAGAGCTTGTATCTGCAGCTGTTGGTGTTAATGGCAGTTGATCCCTGCTTTGGACACATGTCCCGATCAAAGGAGTCCTTAAAGAGAGTCGAGAATGACCTCATGTCCCCGTCGAGGACAACAGCGACTCCTTGTCGTTGCTCCCATAAACACCGTCTGCTGTTAGTCCCACTCAGATTAAACCGGTGCCTTCACTTTTATAAGGACCGGAGCTGTGTGCGTGTGTGTGTGTGTGTGTGTGTGTGTGTGTGTGTGTGTATGTGCGTATGTGTGAGTGTGTGTGTGGAGGGGGTTCTAGAAATGATCACTATCTCACTGACTGTTTGTGGGTGAGAGAAACCCATCAGACTGAGTCACAGGCTGACATTTTCCTGTCTCCACGCTGTGTCCTTGTCTTTCAGGGAAAGTGTTTCCCTTGTGGACAGGACGAGTGTCCTCTGATGGGACACCATGCTGACAAGTTCACTCTGATTGATGGGCTTTCAAACTCAAAGTACTTCCTCAACACCGGCAGATCAAAGCCGTTTGCTCGTGAGTATTCTGTCCTCCCTGGACAAGCCGACAGAGGGCTGGGGGACAAATAAATAATCAGAAATACTTTATAATAAGAGTCTGGTGCAGAGCTGCACTGGTTTTGGACGGTCCAGAATTTATTACTGGCATTCATTTTTTCTCCTTAAAGAGGTCCTTCACTGAGAAATTATGATTTACTGATTATCTCTGATTCTAATGGGTCACTCTGAGTGTTTCATGCAGGCTGAACATAAAAATAGTCTCCTACACCTATCTCCTGCATTAGCTTCTGATAGAAAACAGACGGTGAAACTCTAGGATTAGAAAAGCCTGACAGATCTACGTCACACTGTCACTTAACGTCCATGGACTCACCCATCCTGACTCATGACGGGGAAGGCTGTTGTTGGTTTAGGGTCCAAGAAACCGCAGAGAACGTCTCTGCTACTAGAAGCTAACTGTTAGCATTAGCAACTCCACCACACAGCAGAACTGCTCCAGGCTTGTGTTACTGGTGGAGATAAAACATCAATGTTGCAGAGCAGACAGAGTCAGTGGTAGAGTCGTGTTGCTGTTTGCCAATCAGAGGAGAGATGTCCACATATCAGGAAGTAAGACTCCAAATCCTGAAGCCACTTTCTCCTCTGGCTGACTTCTCTGTGCTGAAACGGGCGCACTGGAGCTTTTCTTCCCCTAGAGTACGGCTTACAAGGCCTTTGTTCCTGCTAGAGACTAAAATAATGATAAAATGAGTGAAGGATCTCCTTAACTATATATACATACATATATATATATATATATATATATATGTATATATATATATATATATATATATATATATATACATATATATATATATATATTTATATATATATATATATATATATATATCTTCATCTCATTAGAATCGTTTCTAACCAAAAGACTCGTGACGTCTTTCAGACAATAAGGAGAAACGGTTACCTGAACATTTTAGAAGTTTTCAGTTTCTTTGAACGTGTTTTTGTTGTAGACGTTAAACATCAGTGAACTTTTTCTTTTAACTTGATTTGTGAACAGAGACTTTGTATTTCTAGGCTACAACTACAAAGCCTCTGTGACGCTGACCGGCTCCAAGTGGCCCAATGTCGGCTTCCTGTTTGTGGCGCTCGCTGGAAAAAAGCTGGTGACTGAGGAGTTCCAGCTCCACATGTGCGTCTCTGTAACCCGAGTGACAAGTGTCCACCTCCAGACGTCTCTGTTGTGTTTAACCAGTCCTTCATCCCTACCACCCTAACACACACACACACACACACACACACACACACACACACACACACACACACACACACACACACACACACACACACACACACACACACACACACACACACACACACACACACACACACACACACACACACACACACACACACACACACACACACACACAATCTTAAAGTAATGCTGTTGTGTGTTCCTGTCTTTTTTAGGGGAACCCTGACTTCTGGAAAGAAGTATGATGTCATGATTGATGCTCAGGTGGATGTGGGTGAGGTGATGGAGGTGAAGTTCAGGTGGAACAACCACATCATCGACCTGCTGAAACCCAAGTATGGAGCATCGCGAGTGGAGCTGCAGAGAGGCAGAGACAAGGAGATGTGAGTTGGCCTTCCCATGATGCTTCACTCCAGGCTGTCTGAACAGGACTCCTGTATTAACAGAACGAGCACCTGAGAACGGATCTAGAGGACTTGGCATAGATCTGGTGGGACCTGGACTCTGGGTCTGGGTCTTGTTGGTGTTTGAGGCTGGCTTCACCTGTAGACAGACAGACAGACAGACAGACAGACAGACAAATATTCAGCCTTCTGTTTTCTCACTCTCCCTGAATTACTGCATCACTGCTGATGTAACAGACACGCCTCCTAGTGGCTTAAACAGGAATGACAGCGTGAGAAGACAAAGCTGGTACCTGAGAGGTTGAGACCTGACGATTTTCTTCTTGTCTGGTGAGACGAGCAGTTGGAGTCCGCTACGCCTTTTTCACAAAACCCCAAATATTTGTTGCCTCCTGTTGAAAATGGAAACTTACAAAATGTGATGTTTATCAGATTATTGATTTAGTTCATGCCAGATTATCTAATTCAGTCTGAATCAGATCTTTATGGTTCAGAACCAGGTAATGTAAATGACATCATCATGACATCATAATGTCTCCTGTTCTCATGCTCTGCTCTTCGATCTACTCATCTGTTCTCAGCTTCTTCTTCTGCGGCACAGAACCTGTTCCTGAAAATGAGATCCAGACTGTTCTTCCATGTCAAGCTTAAGCATCCGGAGCCTGTGGAACACTTTGGGGATTCCAATAAAGATTCTTTATTTAAAATGTTCTGGTTTCTTGTTCCTAAACAGCAGTTTAAATGATCTTTAGATGATTAAATACCAGGAAAAAACTATCAAGTTTCTGATGATTACTGAGCAGTTTCAGCTGATCCTGTCAGAGCTTCAGATCCTGTGTGTGTGTGTGTGTGTGTGTGTGGGGGGGGGGGGGGGGGGGGGGGGGGGGCTTGTATTTGTACCCTTGTGAAGCCCGGATTTGGGATATTTACTAAACTTTTTACGACCGATGGTCCTTGTTAGGACCAAAACCTGGTCCTAATACGGAGCACTCCCCAGGGGTGAGGTTTACAGATTAAATGTGAATTGAGTTTTTGTTACAGATAACTTTAGGAGTACACTGGTTAGGGTTAGGCATAGTGGACTCACTGAAATGAATGGAAGTCAACACAAAGTCCTAATATGGGTAAAAATACAAGAATGTGTGTGTGTGTGTGTGTGTGTGTGTGTGTGTGTGTGTGTGTGTGTGTGTGTGTGTGTGTGTGCGCGCGCGCACTTGTTTGTGTGTGCCTTGAAAGCACTTATTAATCTGTCCGTGGCCTTTTGCTGGCTTTATGAAGTCCTGATTGTGTGTCATTGTTTTGGCTTCATTTATTTGAACACACACCCCATAATCATGCTTGCAAATATCCGGCTTTAAAAAGCGAGCTGCCATTTTCATCATGGCGCTAACAAAGTGCATCTGAGATGCTCAGAGCTGAGCCATCAGCACTCACACAATACCAATCAGGAGGGGAAGTCTGACTACATTAATAATATTAATAAAAGAGCAAAATGAATGTGTGGGCTAAGGGGGGTGGGGGGTGTCTTGAAGTCCTCAAAGACATCCGTCTTTGTCCCGACTCTTGTTTCTCTTTTCATTATTGACTCACTGAAAGTGAAGGCTAATGACAAAACAGCGGGCTAATTCCTGTAATTATATGTGTTTGTCAGAGGAGATCTGCCGATGACAGAATTCCTCTCTGATCCCTGAGCCAGTAGCTTCGGGGGGGTTCTTAGGCAGGTCATGAATTAGTGACATATGGCAAAAGAAAAATGGCTCCCTTGAGGAATGCTTCCACAACAAACATGACCCTGGCATTGAGCTGGTATGTAGTTTCTATCAGGAATGATTTGGAATTCCTATTTATGAAGAGGAGGCTGGAAAAGCCAAAAGCCTAGAAGAGCTGACCTCCGTCCTGAAAACACAACCTGAGTCAGCCTTCAGCAGACCGAGTCACCTGGAGAACTAGTCTACCCATGAGAGAACTGTCTGTGTGTGTGTGTAGTATGTGTGTGTAGCATGTGCGTGTGTGCAGTATGTGCAGTGGTGGTTTTACGACGCCTGGGGCCCCCTTGTATTGGGGGGCCCCCTAGCCCTGACCACTGGCACCCCTCTGTTAATGCCACAATGGACTATTCCTTTAAGATGGCGATGCACCTACAGGAAGTGATTGGTAGACATTCCACTCCAATCCAGTTGGTGGCAGTAATGCACCAAATTGTTGTTTGCCAAGTGCCATAAGACCACAAATAAGAAGAAGAGAGGCGTGGGCGTTCGTAACAAACTCAAAGCGATAGTCAAAACATTAAGCATGACATGGAGTTATCCTCATGGCTCCAATAAGAGAAAGAAGCAGCTCGCTTTAAAAAAGCTTTTATCTTCACTTCCAAAAGTGATGTTGTTTTTCTATGTAAACATCAAAGGAAGCAGAAAAGGAAAGACTATGGAAAATGTTTAAAGGGGGGGAAACAGACCAAAATGGAAAATAGAAGAAAGAAAAAAGGCAAAAGCACAGGAGCACTGACAGGAAGAAGAAAGCAGAGCAAATATTGAAGGCACTCAAAAAGAGAATGTGTGTGTGTAGTATGTGTGTGTGTGTAGTATGTGTGTGTGTAGTATGTATGTGTGTGTGTGTAGTATGTGTGTGTGTAGTATGTATGTGTGTGTGTGTAGTATGTGTGTGTGTAGTATGTGTGTGTGTGTAGTATGTATGTGTGTGCATGTGTGTGTGTAGTATGTGTGTGTATAGTGTGTGTGTGTAGTATGTATGTGTGTATAGTGTGTGTGAGTGTATGTATAGTGTGTGTGTGTGTGTATAGTATGTGTGTGTAGTATGTGTGTATACTATGTGTGTGTGTGTGTAGTATGTGTGTGTATAGTGTGTGTGTATAGTGCGTATGTATATATAGTATGCGTGTGTGTATAGTATGTGTTTGTGTAGTGTGTGTGTGTATAGTGTGTGTGTGTAGTATGTATGTGTGTATAGTGTGTGTGAGTGTGTGTGTAGTGTGTGTGTGTGTATAGTATGTGTGTGTAGTATGTGTGTATACTATGTGTGTGTGTAGTATGTGTGTGTACAGTGTGTGTGTGTATAGTGCGTATGTATATATAGTATGTGTGTGTGTGTGTGTATAGTATGTGTTTGTGTAGTGTGTGTAGTATGTATGTGTGTGCATGTGTGTGTGTAGTATGTGTGTATAGTGTGTGTGTGTAGTATGTATGTGTGTATAGTGTGTGAGTGTGTGTGTAGTGTGTGTGTATATAGTATGTGTGTAGTATGTGTGTATACTATGTGTGTGTGTGTGTAGTATGTGTGTATAGTGTGTGTGTGTATAGTGTGTATGTATATATAGTATGTGTGTGTGTGTATAGTATGTGTTTGTGTAGTGTGTAGTATGTATGTGTGTGCATGTGTGTGTGTAGTATGTGTGTATATAGTGTGTGTGTGTAGTATGTATGTGTGTATAGTGTGTGTGAGTGTGTGTGTGTATAGTATGTGTGTATACTATGTGTGTGTGTGTGTGTGTGTGTAGTATGTGTGTATAGTGTGTGTGTGTGTATAGTGTGTATGTATATATAGTATGTGTGTGTGTATAGTATGTGTTTGTGTAGTGTGTGTGTGTATGTATAGTACGTGTGTGTATATAGTGTGTGTGTGTGTGTGTGTAGTATGTGTGTATACTATGTGTGTGTGTGTGTAGTATGTGTGTATAGTGTGTGTGTGTATAGTGTGTATGTATATATAGTATGTGTGTGTGTGTGTGTGTGTATAGTATGTGTTTGTGTAGTGTGTAGTATGTATGTGTGTGCATGTGTGTGTGTAGTATGTGTGTATATAGTGTGTGTGTAGTATGTATGTGTGTATAGTGTGTGTGAGTGTGTGTGTGTATAGTATGTGTGTAGTATGTGTGTATACTATGTGTGTGTGTGTGTGTGTGTGTAGTATGTGTGTATAGTGTGTGTGTGTGTATAGTGTGTATGTATATATAGTATGTGTGTGTGTATAGTATGTGTTTGTGTAGTGTGTGTGTGTATGTATAGTACGTGTGTGTATATAGTGTGTGTGTGTGTGTGTAGTATGTGTGTATACTATGTGTGTGTGTGTAGTGTGTGTGTATACTGTGTGTGTGTGTGTGTGTGTGTGGGTGTGTGTGAATAGTGTGTGTGTGTATAGTATGTGTTTGTGTAGTGTGTGTGTGTGTGTGTGTGTGTATAGTACGTGTGTGTATATAGTGTGTGTGTATGTAGTATGTGTGTGTGTATAGTGTGTGTGTAGTAAGTGTGTATACTGTGTGTGTGTGTAGTATGTGTGTATACTATGTGTGTATAGGCCTAGTATGTGTGTGTGTAGTGTGTGTGTTTGTGTGTGTGTGTATAGTGTGTATGTGTGGGTAGTATGTGTGTATACTATGTGTGTGTGTGTGTAGGTGTGTATGTGTGTCTGTGTGGGTAGTATTAGTGTACATGTGTGTGTTTAGTATGTGTGTATACTATGTGTGTGTGTTTAATGTGTGTGTTTATGTGTGTATAGTGTGTGTGTGTATGTTGTATGTTTGTATACTATGTGTGTGTGTGTGTTTGTGTGTGTATTGTGTGTGTAGTATGTGTGTATACTATGTGTGTGTGTGTTTAGTATGTGTGTATACTATACACACATACACACACTATACACACACAAACACTATACAGTGTGTAGTGTTTGTGTGTGTGTAGTGTGTGTGTGTGTATAGTGTATGTGTAGTATGTGTATACTATGTGTGTGTGTAGTGTGTGTGTGTATAGTACAGTATGTGTGTGTGTGTGTGTATAGTGTGTGTGTATAGTGTGTGTATAGTATGTGTGTGTATAACGTGTGTGTTAAATACTCAGGCGTACCTCTACACCTGAACACTCCAGAAGGTTACACAAATATGGAATTGTAACAAACAGATCCTGATGAAGATCTGTTTTAAAGCCCAAAGGAGCCTCAATGAGCTCCAGGGTGTCACACTTTCCTTTATCGCTCCATCCTCCCATTGGTTAACGCCGGAGCGCCCAACCTCTGCCATTAACCACGAGAGAGCGTGTACGTGGGAGGGCAGTGGCGCTGCTAACTAAAGGGCCACTTGGATGGCTGGGGTCTCTTCGGATTGCTGTAGCAACCACTCGCAAGCTAAAAACAACCTTAACCTCTGAAGGGTCGAGTGGCCCTCTACCTCCACTCTGGTAAGAATAACACACTCAGAGCCTAAATGTATTCTGGTAGCAGAACAAGTGTCTGTTTAGTTTCATATTCTGGCTGAGTGAATCACTGCTGGGGTGTTGCAGAAGGACTAAAGCAACTTAACACGTTGGTGTTTTTATAACCTAACAAGCCAAAATCCTGGTTTTCATTCTAATTTAAAGGTTTTTGGCCACTCGTCAGTCCAGATTCATTTTTCTGGTTTAGTCCCGTTACTCGGGTCAGATTTAGTGTCTGACACTAAAGGTTCCCATCAAACTATTCATAAAATGATCAGAATGAGATCTTCTCTTCTTTGTTATAACAGCCATGTCTGAATGCTTTGTTTTCTATAAAAGCGTGCATGAACATATTTCTGTTCCTCCTAGGGCTGAAGTCACAGACAACATCCTGGTTCAGAGCTCCAGTCCTCATCCAGGCCACTGGGAGGCAGCGTTGCCTCAGGAGTCAGGTCCAGGTCTCAGTCCCAGACCAAGAGCAGGAGATCCTGGAGGCAAGCCGATGCCACACACACACACACACACGCACACACGCGCACGCACACACACACGCACACACACACACACACACACACACAAAGCAGAAGAGAAGCTCTGAGCAGTCACCTGGCCTGCAGCACCTCCATCAGGTCCATCTGGAGCGGTCTGTGTCACCGAGAGTAAAAACACAACATCAGCAGTTTTGTAATCTACTTTATTGGTGACAGGCTGACAGTTACTACTTGGCATTAATGAAAACACACCCAATACTGTGAATACTGCATGAGAACAAACATATAACTCAAATTTTTAAAATAAACATTTGTTTTGCATTTGCCATAAAAGCGAGTGTTGTGTGTCTGTTCACCTGTAAGCTCCTCTGAGCTACTGACAGCAGGTACTACTGGTACCAGCTGGAACATCTGGACCCTAAACCGCCTCCACTTTACAGAAACACGCACCCAAAATCCTCCTTCAAGCACCACAAACAGAAAGCTCATATCAGCGAATCAGACTTAATATAGTTTCTGGTAGAAGCTGCTACATCAGAGTACCTGGATTACACAACGATGATGTCATGGAGACGGATCGAGTCGGTCAGCTGGAGCAGAGTGGTAGGTTAGTTATCAATTACCTGTTTAATGTTACAGCTCATTTAAGCATGAAGTCCAACAGAAAGAATCTTTACAGGATAGAGGAGGAAACGGCCACCTCCACCGTGGGATCACCTGCAGCTGTGCACCTGCAGCTGTGCACCTGCAGCTGTGCATGAGCAACCAGCTGTTCCACCATACCGTGTGACACATGCTCAACATGCAGCGCAGAAATACCGAAGCTTGTGCGACTTTTTACAGTGAAGAGTGAAACGATTCACAGCTGAAATAAAAGCTTCTGAAACATCTGGGCGTCTGTGGGACATGAACACCCTCCACCTGTCTCTGTGGGACATGAACACCCTCCACCTGTCTCTGTGGGACATCAACACCCTCCACCTGTCTCTGTGGGACATCAACACCCTCCACCTGTCTCTGTGGGACATGAACATCCTCCACCTGTCTCTGTGGGACATGAACACTCTCCACCTGTCTCTGTGGGACATGAACACCCTCCACCTGTCTCTGTGGGACATGAACACCCTCCACCTGTCTCTGTGGGACACGAACACCCTCCACCTGTCTCTGTGGGACATTAACACTCTCCACCTGTCTCTGTGGGACATTAACACTCTCCACCTGTCTCTGTGGGACATGAACACCCTCCACCTGTCTCTGTGGGACATCAACACCCTCCACCTGTCTCTGTGGGACATGAACATCCTCCACCTGTCTCTGTGGGACATGAACACTCTCCACCTGTCTCTGTGGGACATGAACACTCTCCACCTGTCTCTGTGGGACATGAACACCCTCCACCTGTCTCTGTGGGACATTAACACTCTCCACCTGTCTCTGTGGGACATTAACACTCTCCACCTGTCTCTGTGGGACATTAACACTCTCCACCTGTCTCTGTGGGACATTAACACTCTCCACCTGTCTCTGTGGGACATGAACACTCTCCACCTGTCTCTGTGGGACATGAACACTCTCCACCTGTCTCTGTGGGACATTAACACTCTCCACCTGTCTCTGTGGGACATTAACACTCTCCACCTGTCTCTGTGGGACATTAACACTCTCCACCTGTCTCTGTGGGACATTAACACTCTCCATCTGTCTCTGTGGGTTAGTTGGATGCAGAGTTCTGGCCTTTCGGTGTCATGACTCCCTCACTCACAAATAAAAATCAGTAATTTCATCAAGAACTAAATGTTAAGGATTAAACAATTAAATGTCTCAAACAGTAAAGTTCACATTTTAGATAGATGTTGCTGATTCCAGCAGATGGAGACATGTCCCATGCTGCTGGGCTCATGCTAAGAGAAAGCTGCTGGTTTGACTCCCAAACAGGAAGCTCTGAGCCAAAATCTCTTCTTACAGGATGTAAGAATGAATGTATTTACTTTGCTGGATGAAATAAGGCATAAGAAGGAAGTATTGATGTCCATTCTGACAGTTGGTCTGATTCGATTGCTGCCATAAAAGCCAAGAACGACTGAACTGATGATGAAACAAAGTAAATGGATGAATTCTGTCACGAGACGGGTCTGCGCCGACCACTGGGGGTGGTGGTGGTGAAGGTTCGAGTTCAGCTCTGGTCCTCCACAGAACCGACTGTGCAGCTATCCAATCATATTGCAGCAGTGATGTCACACAAGCAAGAGTTCCTACGGCCCAGACCCATGTAGCCGAGCCCTGAGTCGGGACAGAGGGACTGTTTTCTGCCTCCACACTGGCAGCTTCCTCCTCCCACCAACTACAAACTCCACCCATCTTATGCTGAACTCCTTGGATCTTCTGCTATGGAACACCGAGCTGAGGGCTCAGCAGGAATTCTGAAAGTCCACTAGCTCAGAAGAACAGATCTTGAACCATCAGTCAGTCAAACACATATTTCTGTTAGACCCTGTGAATGGAAGCAGAACGATGCTGATGTCATCCTGCACCTTCACTGGAATCACAGAGACATCACTGGAATGTGATTGGATGTGATTTTAGGAATAGTGCCAGCAGAAACGGTTTTCCTGGATGGGAATCTCTGTTCATCCAGATTATTGCTGCTGGAGGGGGCGGGACGGTTGCATCCAGAAGAGGATGGATGGATTATTGATGACTACAGACACCAGCAGACTCATCTGATTTCAGATCAATCGGAACGTTTGGTGTTCTTGTAAATCTGCTGAGTCGTGATTAAATTTAAACAGCAGCATGACTCAGATTCACTGTTTCACCACCAGCTAACAGCTAAACGCTAACCTGCTCACCGTCATGCTGCTTAAGGACGGAGGTGTTCAAGTTCTGTTAGTGAGAGCAAAACAAGAGTAGGTTAAGGCAGCGCACGCACGCACGCACACACACACGCACGCACACAAGCACACTTGTTTCTAAAGCTGCAGCAACCATGCTAAAAATCTGTACACTATTTAAATATTGTATTTACACACATAAACAGATGTTCGGGCTGCACCCCGACCCTAAAACTAAATGAAATACTGAAGCTTTCAGGCTGCAGCTGATGGGAGCAGAAACCAAACATGGCAACAACCTCATGTTTCACAGGATTACAGGAGCTCGTTCACATTCTTCTATTCAGATTCTGGTTGGTATTAGAGGAGCAGACAGGTCGTTGAGCACGACTGGACTCATGATAAAAGCAGTACGTTTGTTTACTACAGCTGGGAATGGAGAAGCAGTCAGAGGGATGAACCAGTCAGGGAGAAGAATCAGTAGCCACACTGTGAGGACGGTTGTCTTGTCATCTGCATCAGTCGCCATGGTAACCAGGGTAGCTCCTAGCTAGTAGTAAAACTATTTCTAGATTTTTATTTCCTCCCAGGGTTCTAACACCTAAATAACCAGCACCACCCACTCCTGAGCAGACAACAATCCACTGGGTGGAGAACAAACCTTCAATAGAACAAGTCACCTTTATAGTTAGAATACTTAGAGTGGAGTCATGCAAAACAACCTGCATGCTCCTGGGATGCTGCTGATGAAACATGTAGAAAACAGAGATGCAACATTATCCTTGAGCGGAGTCAGCATGATGGTCCATCACACTGGTTCTGTGGCCGCTGCACGAAGTCGTATTGATGAAATCTAACAACCTGCTGCAGCAACACAGCCAGGCAGGTAATTATGAAAATTATAACTTTACCAGGCTTTCCTCTGGAAGGGACAGAAAACCGATTATATATAATAATATGGTACGGTTCAACAGCTGACTAAACAGAGAGGGTGAACCAGAAACATGGAAGAGCGGGAAACTAGACGGATGAAGAGGAGAGGAGGTCATATCCAAGCTGCATCCTACCGTTATTATCCTCAGCTCAGTGTGTGTGTGTGTGTGTGTGTGTGTGTGTGTGTGTGTGTGTGTGTGTGTGTGTGTGTGTGTAAGCTGCTTATTTGCTACTGGGAGTTCTAGGACATGAACATGACTTCCTAATGGCTTAAGAAGTCAATGCCAGCTTTGACCGTGCGTCCAGTGGACACATCCACAGCCATGGCTCGGATCTCCGTGTCGCCAAACTGCATGAGCGTCTGGATCTCGCGGCGCGGTGCGGTGCTCTCCGTTCCGCTCACGTCTAAACGAAGCGTTCCACACTTTCTGACGCCAGGCTCGCTGATGAACCCGACGCTCTCCTTCTCTGAACAGTAGACGTGGATGACGATAACCTGCTGGGCCGGCTTGGCTGGCGTGTAGCTCCTCTTGACCATCTCGCCTAGCGCCACCGACTGGTCAGCAGCTATGAAGGTGTCGAAGACATCGGTACACCAGCGTGTCCCGTCCTTCAGCAGCAGTTTCTCTGGAGGGTGCTTCCCCTCCACGAAGCGGTTAAGGACCCCTACCCCGTATGTCAGCGGGGAGCGGCGAACCTTAATGACACTGGGGTCCAGGCCGAACAGCACGGCACCTTTCAGGATAGTCAGGCCAACGTCATGGGGGATGATGATGCGGCTGCGGCCCTGAAGCATGTTCTGGACCGCCTGCTGCAGCAGGGCGGACTCAGCGAAGCCGCCAACCAGGAAGAGGAACTTGATGTTGCTGACCTCAGGCTTCTCAAAGAGCTCAGCTGCAGGAGACAAGCGGCGGAGAAAATAAGTGGAAGGATTCCCAGAAAGGACCTGGATCACTTTAAGCCTGGAGATACTGCAGAACATCACACTAATACGCTGTAAAAACTTTTCTGTCATTTTAATGAACTCTGAATATTCATTTCTATTGGAAAATTTCTACTTTTTTCTCTTTTCTTCGGGACTTTTAAGTAATAGTCTAATAAATGATAAAGGACACACACTTGTACTGCCCCTTTCAGAGTCAGAGGACTCCAAAGCACTTTACACTACAGTGTGTAAATAAGAATGGATTTAATATACAAATACTACTACTAATAATAATAATAACCCACAATAATAACTTCATAAAAAATAACCGCACAGAAAAATAAAGGAACTGAACTTGTGAGTCTCTGTGTAAATCTCTGTTTTAATGTTGATGTAAAGATTTTTTCTCGTGGCGTAATTGTGATCCGAATAAAACCAACATGAACATTAAAGCTGTTTTCCAGTGTGGAGCTGTCAGACTATAAGAGAAGAAGAAGAAAACAGAAAGGTGTAGCCACAGACAAATACATAGATGCTCCGTGGGCGTCATTTGGAATGGTAGGATGTCCAAGGAAGGTCCCGCCTTACTCACCTCTGATTGGCTGGAAGGGCTCTCCTACGATTGGCTATGTAATGTAAGAGGAGGCCGTTTTCCCTTGCTGGAGGGTTTCATGTTTACAGCCAGATCTTGATGGTTTTTGGAGAAAATGTGAACATCATCGCTACAATATCAATATATCAAATACAGACCATTTACCATTTTGTCCTCTTTTGCTACTAGTTTCATTTTCCTTTATAAAACATCCTGAAAAACATCAAATGTGAGCTTGTAATAAATCTTGTTGCATGTTATCGCACCGTTAGACTGACTTTATATCTACTGGGGTTATCTTACAACTTGATTATTTTCTCACACTTTAATAGGTTAAGGCTCTAGAACAACGTGCAACATTTAATCAACATTAAACCCAAAGCTGATTATAATTTAGACTCGTTTTCAGCAGTTTTCTTTAATTTAGAAGAGAAACAGACCTGCTGCACACAGCTGGGCAAATTAGGGCAGTTTAGGGCAAAAATAATATTTTGCTAAACAGGACAGAAAGGTTAATATAGCATGAAGTTCACATTTTCTTTACAAAACTCCCCAAAACAGCTGTTTTGCTGGCGGAGGACCAAAGACATTGAATATTTATGTCTGTGAAGAGGACAGTCTGCATTTAGCCAGGGATGATGTAGATGTGCTGCTAAATGAATTAGCCAATGGTAGTAGAGCCCTTCTAGCCAATCAGAGGTGAGAGTGGCATCATGCTAGCTCATATATATTGCAGATAGCTGCATGCTAACGCTAATGCTACAAGGTCAGCTAGCTAACCCCTATTACTATACTTTACAGATTGAATTTTGTGGTCTTATGTTTCAAACCAACCTGAGGTCAAAATGAAGAAGATATATTCTGGTTGACTTTTATTTTGAAATAAATACTTTTGTTTGCATTATTCGACTGTAGACATCCTCTTGTCTCGAGCGGCTGAAGGAGGTTAGGTCTGTAGACGTGAAGGAGAATGGTGGAAGCTCATGTTTAGTAAACTAAAAACTGTTAGGATCTAAATTCATTCACACAGAAGAGATTTGGTCACTTTGTGGGAAACAGTTTTCCACAATACTGGGAATTTTCTATGCAAGCTTATTTTTTCTCTCTCTCTCTCTTTTAGGAGTCGAGACCAAGAGAAGATTCCCTTGGTGGTCCAGAAGTCTATGGGAGATGATCCACAGCTCCATTCACCCGTATTCACCAGCATCCATGGTGGGATCACACTTTACTACCCCCCCCCCCCCCACACACACACCCCCACACACCCACCCCACCCCACCCCCACCCCCCACCCACACAGAATGAGGGTTCCTCCGATCACCACCAGTAGGGTTGCCTGCTGGTGGTGATCGGAGGGACTGGGTAAGCCTGTGCTCTGCAGCCTCGCTTCTGTAAGTGTGCGCCTGGGCAGCTGTGGCTACATCGTAGCTCATCACCATCAGTGTGTGAATGTGTGTGTGAATGGATGAATGATACACTGTAGTGTAAAGCACTTTGGAGTCCTTACTCTGAGAGGCGCTATACAAGTGCGGGTCATTTATCATTAGTTTAATTTGATCATTTGAGGTTAGATTGATCAGAAAAGGATGATCAGGTGATCCTTTTTATTTCTGTAATCTTTGCAGAATCTAGACAGAAGACACTCGGTAGATAATAACATATTTACGCTGATTTAGATGCTAAATAATCCCGTTCCAGCCCATGCAGACATCATGTGACCTAGTTTTTTTACAGCTGTAAATAATTGAGTTTGTCTGGTTTGTGCAGCCACCTGAGAGTGTTTTACAGTCCTGCTTCATCCTTTTGGCAAAACTGATGAGATACTTTAGCTACATGTTTCTGTGTAGATGTTTTAAAGCATCTCACCTGTTATAGATAACATATGTGCAGTTCTCTCAACGCGGATGGGTCAAAAGCTGTGTGTAATGATGACTAATGGGACGCCAACTTTATAGACGCCACTCTGAACAGCCACTGTTTGAAGAAACTGTTTTTATTTCCAATAGGACTGATGTGCTAACAGCTAGTTCGACCAAACTGTTTGCTGTCATCCTAAATTAGCTCAGGTCTCCTAAAGTTCACGTGATATTATTAGTAAATCTTTGACTGCAGGGTTAGTCTGTTGGTGATAATTAGTTAATAAGCCCAGAATTTTATTTAACTTCAGCTACTGTGTGCTAGCGTGGTGGTGTTAAGGGCGGAGCTTACTGAGATGCTGAATGATGTGGTCTACAGTAGGCTTGAAAAGCATATTCATGGCATCCGGAGTCATCCTCAGCATCCCCTGGGACGACCACTTAACAAAGTCCACACTGGAAAAGAGATAAAAGCTTTTACCAAAACTCACCTGGGCTTTGTGACAAGCTGACATGCTAACAAACACACCTGAGGGATTTCTAGGGAAAGACAGACTAAACAAAAACAGGCATCATGTTTTTCTATTGTTACTAATTTACTGACAGAAGCTGAAAGTCAACAAGAATTTCAGACTTTTATTAAACTTTGTGTGATTTTATTTTGATTTAAAGTCTTCTTGTTTGTAATTCTATAGTTTCATACAACAACGCTCATTACGATCAGCAGGTTTAATCTCTGATCTTCGCAAATCTTATCATATATGTGGTCGAGTTTTCCTCCCCTGATTCAGACTCTGCTGTAAAGTCAGATTTTTGTTAAATGCCACTAAAGAGCGGTTCACAGCTGTATTTTTAAAATGAATATATCTGCTAAAGGTCAGGTCAAAGCTGCCCAAGCAGTCCACTGCTTAAGTGTGGCTTAAGCTACTATGATGTGGTATTTTTATGGTGAAAAACGAGACACTTTTTGGATCATTCTTAAAGGTGCAATAAGTCAGAATGAAGTAATAATGACATCCTGTGGTCAAATGTGGTTACTGCAGCCCATTTTTGTAAACAACTCTCACTCCTGATGCGTGAGGTCATGGGTTTCTCCCAGTTACGGATCAGCACCAGAAGAGTAGTCGTACCTAGTGTTAGCATTCCTGAGTGTTTTACGGTAGGGAACACTTACTACACTTACTACGGTAGTTTGTCTTCAGCATTTCAGGAAGTGTGGCTGTTTGCTGTCCTGCTGTTGGCTTGTTGTTACTGTTCTGAGCGACTCGTTAAAGGAAGTGAGACGCTACGACTGACTCAATTTTCACTTCACTGTTACATCCAGTTGGTGCTGATTGAAAATGTAGCTTGAGATATTTGTGGGAAAACAACAGGTCAGAACTTCCAGAACCCGACCTGAACAACCTCCAACTCACTTCACGTTCTTCCGGAAGGCTGCCCCCACAATCACACACGCGTTGCCAAGGCAACAAGCTGACAGGCAGCTCTTCTAGCTGACAGACAACAGGCTGCATTCACAGACAACAGCTCCATCAACTAAACATTTCCCCAACAAGAACCGAACCAGAACCTAAGCAGATCGTATAAAACAACAAACATAGAGGTGTATGTGCGGGGGGCAGTCAGAAGGCAGTTTGATGGACGGATCAGGATCCAAACATGAAGAACGGGACGTTCACGACGACTCGGTAGGGTTTTTCCAGATTTGTACGTTTCAGAGGCAATTACAATGATTCCTTTGTTGTTGAAACATGAACTTGTTGGTTGCCGTCAGCATGTGAAGAACATTTCAAGCACCAAGGCAATAAGTGTTTCAGAAGAACATCTGCTGCTGCACCTTTACACTGTTTCATCCTGCTGTCATTTCATGTTTTATGTATGAAATACTTAAATGAGCTTATGAACTCTTTACAGCATATTTGTGCTGTTCCCCTCTCCTTTTCCACTCTGATCCGGGTCAGTGGTGCTGGGGTAATCTGCTTTGCTCAAGGGCACTTTGGTATGTTGCAGAGCTGAGGATCAATCCCAATCCCAGGTGAAAGATAACCATGCTCCGCCTGATGTCTCAGTGTTCCGAGGAGGTTTCACTGATCTTTTAAGACTGTTCCTCCCAGTTTGGTCTCTGGAGACAGACCAGTACGTCCCTGTAAACCTGAAACCCTCTGCTCAATAACGAATGCTTCATAAAATAAATCCATACAGTAGCAGATGTGCTCCAGTGCAGACTGAGTGGTTCCAGTCAGAACTGGTTCCAGCAGATGTCCCAGAGACATGAGACGGTCTGAGGCCTAAACTCTGCACGTCAGCGAGATGATCTGGTGAATATCATCATGGGTTTTGTTTAGATTAAAAACTGATTACTGGTGGTTGAATCTCACAAGCTGAATACAGTCAGGTTCCACATGAGAACCAAACAGAACCTTAAGGCTGTCTGAGTTTGCTGTGAAACGTGAAAGATGTTGATGTCTCCTCTGGTTTGGATCCTGCAGCTGTTCAGGCCCGTTTGGCTCTCGACCCCAGCCACAAACCTAAATATCACATTTCAGGGTTCAGGAAATCTTTGAAAGTGTTTCCGGTTTCCTTTTCAGCTGTTTTCGTTTTTGTTTGATGTAATAAAAAAATCTAGTAGCTTTAAATAGTGCAGGTCAAACAGGAAAATCTCATCTGGTGCTAAAGTTCACCTACAGTACCGGCC